ATCTCGCCACAGCCATAGCACTTCGGGGGACCGTCGTGCTTTCTTCCTTTGCGTTCAAATTCCTTCTTCATGAATTTGTGGAATTTCTTGATGACGAGTCCGAACTCGTTGTCATCATCACTTGAGACTTCTTCCACAGTCTCCTTGGTTGCTTTGAGAGCTATTCCTTTCTTCTTTTGTTCATCCAAAGATGGGGTTACAATAGTAGATTCATAAGTTTTGAGGTTACCTCTTAGCCCGTCGATGGTGACATTTGAGACTCTAATGGATTCATAGATTGCATCGGCTTTTGACCTTGTTGGTGTAAGTCTTTTTGAGAGCATGAAGATCGTTGATGATCTTTGAGAACCGGTCGAACATGTCATCGATTTTCTCACTTTCTTTCATTCGGAACATTTTGTACTCTTGGGTGAGAAAATCGATCTTGGCTTCACGAACTTGATCGGTACCTTCGTACGTCACCTCAAGCTTGTCCCACATCTCCTTGGCGGTTGTGCAGCAGGAGATTTTCCGGTAGTCATCGGGGATAACCGCACAGTAAAGCATGTTGATAGCTTTTGCGTAGTTTTCAACCTTTTTGATGTCTTCAGCATCAAACTCATCCTCGGTTTTTGGGACTGTGGTTTCTCCTACTTTCTTCATAGGGATTTGCTCTCCATTTTTGATGACCAACCATAATTGGAAGTTGGTGGAACGGATATAAATTCTCATCCGTTCCTTCCAATAGGAGTAGTTGGTGCCATCAAAGAGTGGTGGCATAGAAGTTGATTGACCTTCTCCAATTCCTGCATAGAGATTTCTAGAAGAAGAGCCCATGATCGCTTTACTCTCAAACGGTTAAGTTTGGACGCGAGTTAGGCTCTGATACCAATTGTTAGAATAATAGATCAATGCTAGAGGGGGGGGGGGTGAATAGCGTTTGATCAAAAAATCGCAGGAATAAAATTGAATAAACGAGAAGTAAAGAGAAGAGTAAAAGACACACCGATTTTACCCTGGTTCACCACAACTTGTGGTTAATCCAGCCTCCCGAGAGACTCTCTCGAGCTACACTACTATCTCGTTAAGCTTAACAGTGCTTAACAAACCCGTACAACTTGAGAGTTCGAGTCACACGAACCTCAACGAACCCTCGAAGGAAACAACCCTTCCTTCGAACAACAAGAGAAATACTTTCTCTTGTCAAGTGTCTAAGAACACTAAAAACTCTCAAGAACAATACTCTCTTTTAGAGTAGATAATGAGTAACTTAGTACGCTCAAGAACGCAACACAAGATTCACAAAAATGGCTCTCAAAAAGCTATGAAAAAATGATGAATGATTTGCAATGAAAGAGTAGAAGTTGTGAAGTTATGTGATATATAAAACAGACCCAAACACCCCTTTTTATAGTAAAAAAAAAGGCTCCAACGGACCAAAGTATTTAAGAGGTGATTGGCAAAATTTGTGGGATTTGATTAAATTTGGATCTGCTGAAATTCACCCAGATAGCGCTGTCCTAGGCTTGGACATCGCTGTTCTAGGCTTGATTTTAAAAAATTGGGAAGCAACGGTCATGCCAACAGCAATGTCCAAAACCCCTACATCGCTGTTTTGGCTGTTGACTTCCAAACAAGGAAAGTTTTAGCCTTAAATTCCTTCCAACGGTTAGGTCCCTACATCGATCTTCATAACCTGAACATCGCTGTTTAGGTATGACTTTGAAGATGGAAGTTTGGCCTGACAGCGCTGTTGCTGGGTCAACATCGCTGTCCAGAAACTTTCTGCCAGAAGCATTTCTTTTTGGCTTAGGATGGACAGCGCTGTAGGGAAGTCTACATCGCTGTTCTAGAAGTTTCTAGAAATCCAACCTTGGCTCAACAGCAATGTCTAACATCCAACACCACTGTTGGAAGACTTAACGCCAAACCATGGTTTTAAGCCACCCAAGCCAGACAGCGCTGTTGGTTTCACCAACATCGCTGTTGGGCTGGTTTAGCCAGACCCATGGTTGGTTTAGTTAGCCGTTAGCCGATGTCAAACATGTAAGTTCTCCAAAATAAAAACCAAGTATTGAAAAAGTTTGTTTAATGCATTTTGCTAAGAAATCAAGTAAAACATTTTGAAAACCACGTCATTTAGTTGAGAACCACGGCTAGCCAAGTTTACGTCGTTTCGCATGGTTTTCACTAAACGACCAAAAACGAAAGGTGGTTTTTGAAGCGTTTTTGTTGGAGAACTATTTAAACATGCCCAGAAGTAAAAACCAATCATTAAAAGTTGAAAACCACTTGGTTGGTTCGGACGCCAAAAACCAACGCCGATAACCAAAAGCCGAACACCGGTTTCCAAAGACCGAACGCCGGATGGCTTGGTTTTTTTTGGTTTGGGCAAACTCCAAGTGTTTTTAGGTATTTTAAAACTTAAGAAAAACATTTTTGAATATGCAAAAGATATTTTGATGAGAGAAACCTAGAGGGCCAAGATTTGAAAGTTTGTGCCGGTCTTGATCACATTAAGACCGACTCAATACAATTCTAATTCTTCGTTCTTGATTCTTGGTTCTTGGTTCTCAAATCATCATGCCATGTTCCTTCACCTTGGTTTTTCTCACTTTAGCCTTGTTATGGTCACGGCGGTTTGGCATTATCAAAACCTGTCATAAGACGAACACGGCTTAGTACGACATAGGCGTAAACCCGTGTTCCAACAACATCTTGGTTGGTTTTTAGCTAATGTATTCAGCCTAATGAGGAGTGTTATGGGGTGGTTGTTTGGCTTAATATGGGAGGTATTGTATGGGTGTTTTTAGGGGGTGTACTCGGCCAGCTGAGGGGACAAAAGGGGAAGGAGTGTGGGGTGTTTGTTTGTCTTCAAATGGAGGGTTTTAAGTGGTGGTTATGGTGTCATAGCTAGCTCAAATATCCCTGGCCTTTAGTGATTGTTTATTTAGGCTAGTTAGGAGACACAAAGGGACCCCAACCGGTACATGTTGGGTGAATTGATTGGGTTGGTTTTGGCTCTCTATTTTCAGCCTACTCAAGGGGAAAAGGATAGGGATGAGTTTTGGTTTTTAATGTGTAATGTGGGGTGCCTTTGGGGGTGTGGGTTCGACCAAAGAAATGAGGGAATAATGGTGATAGTTTAGGGTTGGTTTTGGATTTTTGGGGGTTGTTTTGGGGTGTGTGGATTCGGCCATCAAAGGGAGGGGTGGTTCAAGAGGATCAAGGTTGGGTTGTATTGTTTTGTGATGATAAATTCATTCTAGAATGGATCATAACATTTGGACATTATTCCATTTACTTGTTGTAGGGTTTGAGGGTCGTTGGTAGTAACCGGGGATATATCACTCTCCCCTTCTTCAGAAGTGTTTGACCTCAAACTCAGAATTTCTTCAAGATTGAAATACGAGATGAGATCCTTCACGTTGAATGTAGCTGAAACTCCGTAATCTCCTGGCAGGTTAACCTTGTAGGCATTCTCACTTAGCTTCTCCAAAATTTTGAATGGGCCATCAGCCCGGGGCAGTAGTGTAACACCCCAGCCCCCACCCTGGCTGTAAGTGTTCGCTCATAGGATTGTAGACTGTCCCCACAAACCAACACAAGTCTTTCCCGCACACTTTGTCCTCACTCGTGCGCGCCCAAGGAAAACTTCCCAGGGGGTCACCTATCCTAGAATTGCTCCAGGTCAAGCACGCTTAACCTTGAAGTTTCTAGGTGATGAGCTCTCGAAAAGAAGATGCACCTTGTTGGTATGAGTAGTACTATCAATCCTTTTGAGCTCTTCCCATTCCCATCTTAATACGGGGTATTACATTCACCCCCACTTAGGAATGCAATGTCCTCGTTGCATCCTTTTTTTTGAACCCATAGATCTTCCCCGCTAGATGAACTAAGCTCTTTTGGCCCGTCACGGTCGCAGGGTTGCTCTGATACCATTTGTAACACCCCGGCCCCCACCCTGGCCGTAAGTGTTCGCTCATAGGATTGTAGACTGTCCCCACAAACCAACACAAGTCTTTCCCGCACACTTTGTCCTCACTCGTGCGCGCCCAAGGAAAACTTCCCAAGGGGTCACCCATCCTAGAATTGCTCCAGGTCAAGCACGCTTAACCTTTGAGTTTCTAGGTGATGAGCTCTCGAAAAGAAGATGCACCTTGTTGGTATGAGTAGTACTATCAATCCTTTTGAGCTCTTCACATTCCCATCTTAATACGGGGTATTACAGTATTTGTTCTTGAGTGAATTAGTGTTTTAGACACGTAAATAAGAGAAAGTGTTTCTCTTGTGTAGTTCGAAGGAAGGGTTGTTTCCTTTGAAGGATCGTTGAGGTTCGTGTGACTCGAATTCTCAAGTTGTACGGATTTGTTAAGCACCGTTAAGCTTAACGTTGGTAGTGTAGCTCGAGAGAGTCTCTTGGTAAGCTGGACTAGCTGCACGTTGTGGTGAACCAGGGTAGAATTGGTGTGCCTTCTTCTTACTCTTTACACCTTTTAATTTTTTATTCTTGGCGTTATTTTGTTTCAAACGCTATTCACCCCCCTCTAGCATTGGGATGTTAATTTAACAGAAATAAGTCATAAATATCTTTAATGATGTACCTCACCTTGTAATCAGCATCAGCCGCAACTTTTGAGAATATAATTCCTGATACATACATACATACATACATACATACATACATACATACATACACACACACACACACACAAATTTTTTTAGGAAACATATTTTATTCTTTTTATTGAATACGAATCAGAATACAACAATTGTCACACTTAATGACCCCTTTGACAGTTTTGGGGAGTGATGAGAGGGAATTGTAGATTGAAAATTTATTGTTTGCAAGAGCAAATTGTGCTAAGTTATGTGCTGCTGTGTTTTCTTCCCGATAGACATGTTTTGCACTTTCTTGAATTTGTTGAAGTTTAAGCTTGATATCACGACTAATTGGGTCTTCTTTGTGGGCTTCCTTGATTCTCATGACTGCATTAGTGGAGTCCAAGTGTAGGTTGAGGCATCCCTTCCAGTTATCCGTCCACCACACTAGCGGTTTCCCGGAGTTTGCAAGTCTTGTGGCCTTCCATTTGAAGGTTTGAATTGTTGGCGCTGGGTTAATGAGATGTTTGAAGGTGAGTGGGATTCTGCCCTTTCCTTTTCTAATTGTCCATTTAGTTAGTTTATTCCACATACATACATATGTGTGTGTGTGTCTATATATATATATATATATATATATATATATATATATATATATATATATATATATATATATATATATATATATATATATATATATATATATATATATATATATATATATATATATAATGGGTGACCCCCTGGGAAGTGTTTGCAGATTTATGGGGTTGGGCTTTAGATTGGGTTTCTTATAGTGGGCTATCTGCCTCGGGTGTTAACGGGCCCCGGGGCAGTCACGAGGTTAACAGGCCTCGAGCCCCCTGTTTGTAATCGACCGTTCTAATAATATTATTAAAAGAATTTTATATATATATATATATATATATATATATATATATATATATATATATATATATATATATATATATCATATGATGGCTGAAGTTTCTCTCTCCTCTTTTCCGGCGACCGGAAACCCCTCTGGGAACCTCAGCTCCTATAGTCCTATCATCATCTTCCTAACTGTAAAACCCTCTTTGTAGATCTCTTAAAAGGGGACTTCACAAATAATCCAGGTCAGTTGAATGGTTTCTACAAGGGAGCACCCTCCATAGTCTTCTCTGCGGCTGAGGAAGATGTACTGGCCGGCAAGTTCAATAGAACTCGCATTGGCCGTAGCAGTGCTCGTCTTTCACTCTCAACTCTCGAAGACTTCCTGATCAAAGGTGGCTTCATGGAATTTAAACTTTGCCGGCTTGGTAACTTTGAGGTTCTTTTCATTTTCAAGCATGAAAATGACTATCAAAGATGGTTTTTCAGAAGAAGATGGAACATTCAGGGGAAGATGCTTACAGTCTGCAAATGGTCCCCTCTCCACTCCCCCAAACAGGACAACCCAATCTCCCCGGTTTGGGTTGAGGTCTCGCAGGTGCCGGTTTACCTCAATGATCACAGAGCTCTTTTTACGATTGCCTCCTATTTAGGGCGCCCCATCAAACTGGACACTAAAACGGTCATTGGGGCGATGCCGGCAAAGGCTAGGTTTTGTGTAGAAATGGACGTCTCCTTAGCTTTGCCCCCCCAAACTCCACATTCGGTTAGGGGGAAGGGAATTTTGGCTTCCATGCGAATATGATAAGGTGCCGGATTACTGCTCTTCATGCTCCCGGTATGGTCATTCAGCAAATACATGCCGGAAAACTCCCCCACTCCACCTCTCCGGCAAGGCTCCGGCCGGTGAGGAAAAGGACATAGGGGCTCAGATGCTGGTGGGTCTTCAGAAAGGAAAGTGGGAAAAGCCTAAAGGAAGGAGACGAAAACGTCAGGAGGTTAGTGGGAAGAAGGGCCCATCCAAGCCACAGCTTTCATTCAAGGAAATTCAAAAACCCCATGTCAAATCCCACCCCACCCTGGACGCCGGTCAGTCCCTGTCCAATGGTCCAAAGGCACTGAACAATCGCTATGGTCCGTTCTTTTGCCTATTGTGGAGGACGTTTGTGAAGAGGAATCTTCAGCGACAGGTGGGTCCGACATCAACACTTTGAAAGGTAGCCACGTCAGGAACCCTAAAGGCATGGAAACACCTAACTTTGGGGTTAGTCATACCCCTTTTCCTGACCTATCTTTCCTTGAAGTGCCTACTCCTCCATCCTGTTTGGCCATCATCCCTTACACCCCTCAAGCTCCTGAAATGCCACCCGGCCATGCATGCACATCTTCTTTTCCTTCCCTGGGTAGTTTGGACGATGGTTGGATTGGTACTCGTTTTGAAGTCGGGGAGACCTCCTCTCCGGTGGATACCCCATATGGTTGTCACTCTGATGGTGGGGAAGAGGAACCCCCTTTTGACAACTCAGAGCTCCTGCCTTTGGCAATGGACAACACCATATATCCAAAATCCTCATTGCCTCTACCCCGTTGTCCTAAGGTGAAAAAGCCCCCCTCCTCCTCCCGGGGTGACCACTAGAGGTATGAAGAATAAAGGAGTATCCTTCAACCCCTTTTTATGAAGATACTATTTTGGAACGTCTGTGGAGTTGTCTCTTCACTCGACAGGCTGATCTACTTAGCTTGAAGAGAACTCACTCTCTTGATTTCCTTTGTATTTTTGAACCTATCGTTAATATGCAGAAGCTTGACACCTATCGTATTAAATTGGGTTTTTCTCATGGTTTTTCCTCCAACAATAATAAGAGATGGATTCTTTGGAACCAGGATTCCCTCATTTTGTCTAACTCCTATGATGAAGGTCAAGTTACCCATTGTGAATTCACTCTGGCCCATGACAGCAGTCCTTTAATCATTTCCTGTGTTTATGGTTCTCACTCTCTGGTCGAGAGAAGACTGCTTTGGGACCAGCTGCAATCTTTTTGCCCTTTGAATGAAAAATGGATTTTGGGAGGAGACTTCAATACTATCCTCTCCCCTCAGGATGCAAAGGGACAATGCACCCCTAACTTTCAAAGCATGGAAGAGTTTCAATGCTGCATTTCAAATTGCAAATTACACTGTCCTGATCCATTGGGGGTGTTTTCACTTGGTCAGGAGTAATGAGTAGAGGTAGAACTTGGTGAAGGCTTGATAGGGTGTTGGTGAATCTGGATGTCCTGGCTTTTTTCAAAGAGGTTGAGCTTCATCACCTTCCTAAAGCAAACTCAGACCATAAGGCCCTATTACTCCACTGCCATTATGACCAACAACTTGGTGCAAGGCCTTTCAAGTTCATCAATTCTTGGACTCATCATGACAAATTCCTTGAGGTGGTCAAAAAATCCTGGGATAACAGCCCTACATTTGGGGGCATGAGAGGCCTCCTCTCCAAACTTAAAGCCCTCAAAGTGGACCTTAAGACCTGGAACCACAAAGAGTTTGGCAATATTTTTGACCAGGCTAAGAAGGCTGAAGAATATGCCTCTCTAACTCAGGAGGCTTATGATACTGATCCCACGGATTGGAACAGAGAGATTGCTCAATTGGCGAATGCAAAAATGATTCTTGCAGTCAAGAAGGAGGTGGAATTTTGGAAGCAAAAGGTTAACATTAAATGGTTAGAGAAAGTCTTCCAGGCTTATGTTAGAGGGAAACAAAAGAAACTTTGCATCACCACATTATTTCCCAAGAGGGGGTAGGCCTTCACAACAGAGAGGAGATCAAGGAGGAAGCCATCAACTATTTTGAGTCCCATTTCAGTGCTGAAACTGCCGATCACTGCCCCAACCTCATGCCTATTCTCCAACATATCCCTAAGCTTTTCAGTCCTTTTTTTTTGTAATTTGTTTGATGTAAGGCTTGGTTTTTATTAGTTATGTTGGGATTGGAACTTGTCTTTACGCTCGGGTATGCCCGTTCTATTTGTATATTCTTATCCTTTTTCTATTTACATTTTATCGAAGGATGCCTCAGCCCTACCCGACATGGATGAAGTTAAACACACCATCTGGGAGATGGATGCCAATAGTGCAAGTGGACCAGATGGGTTCAATGGTACTTTCTTCAAGTGTTAGCCACTTGTCAGGTGATAACAAATTAACCTATTCCCCAATAACTACACACTTATAAAAATGGTAGCAAAGTGGTAAGTAGGGTCATTCTTCCACAGGGAGACTTGTCTTCTATTATTTCTTCTCTTGATTAATTGCTCAGTTTTCACAACACACACACGCAAAGGGGGGGTTGTTTAAAAGATGATAATACTACGTAATGAAAACAGATTTTAACAGAAACAATGAGAACAGATCAAAGAAGGAGAGAGAAGTTCAGGTAAAGGTTTGTGGTTATCAAATGGAGTAGCAGGCTTGTCTGGTGGAATTAGGAACAGTTGCTCAGATCAAAGTAAAAAATCAGATTCTCAGCTAAACAAGTTGTTGAACAAAAGTGAGATTTAGCTCTCTCAGCAAGGAGCTAAATCTCCACCTCAAAAATCAGTCCTTAAGAGAGATGAGCACTGCCTAAGGACCTGTACCTACGTTAATAACCTCAGGATGAGCCTGATGCAAATTAACATAAGCATGAATTCAGTTATAAAAACCTTTTGAACATACAATATACTTGGATAGCCAAATACACTATATGCCAGTTGTTGGACCCCAAATAAGAATTTCAGACTGAAAAATTGAGGCATGAGACCTACAATCAACAGTTTTGAGAAGCTGAGCACAAATCAGGATTAAACAACCTTCAACAA